TGCAGTGGTTCAGCTGACTAGTTGCAATCTAAAAACTGCTGGAAGTTTTGTGTTTGATCATAACCATTTTTAAATGATTTTGTTTTGGAAGGGACCAAACTGCACTACATGAAAGTACTGTTGAAAAGTTTCTCAGGATTTTCAGTGCCATTCCTAAACCTTTCCCCAAAAATACTTTTGGTGTTGAACACATGCGTTGCTGTGTATAGTATTATGTAGTTAGTGTAAAATACATGAACGTTTACCTTTAAATTGTATGCAATGTGCTTTACCAAATGAAACAGGATACACCTTCCTTTAAAGATGAGTGTTGGTTTTTTAATTACTTTAAAAACAAATTAATAAATTCTCTAATTATTTCCCCTTCATAAATGTTAGTGCATTGGGTACAGAGCAGATAAGAAACATTTTGTCCCTCTGTTAAAGCACTGACATCAAAATACAAAATATATTATAAGGTGTGATGGACAAACTCCTCTTTCCTTCAGGATAGGAATTAAACCCATTTACTAGAATGTCTTTGTAGGCATTTAGGGCCTTTGAAAACAGACCTTAAATCAATTGGTGGAAATCCTCAATGTCCAAAGCAAATGGTAATTTTGAAAATTTAGAACTGTATTTCCTCCATAGTCACATGGCAGATCATGGACAGTGGTGTAAACAGCACCATGTTCCTGTAACTGCTAGAAGCAGCAGCTCAGCAGGCCTAAAAGTACCTCCCTTACACTGATCACTTCAGGTCCAGTCTGCTGAGCATTGAAGACCCAGGTCGTTTCTGACAATTAAATGAAATCCTTTCATTTCTGCAGTTGTACCTCTTCCTTATTAATAGCTCTTATTTCATCTAGGCTTTTGTTCTATCTTGTTCCTTTTGTCATATATATTTCTCTTAGCCATGTATGAATAATATACAGGAAAATCATTGAAGATAACCTTTTTCTAAATGAAAATAATTTGACCAAGGTCTCTCAAGTGTATTTAGTTCTTCTGCTTAATTCTTGAGCTGTTTATTCACACTGTCCCTTTAATACAATTCTTTTCTAATTTTTAGTCCTATTAGTAATTATCTTTCCTCCTTTAAATATTGCATTAAGCTGGCAATGAAATTGCTTGATACAATCACTGGCTCTTAAAGTGCTTTACAGAACATTGACTTACATAATCTACATTCTTTCAAAGAGAGAGAGAAAGAAGGAGGGAAGAGTAGGATTATTGTCTTTAACATTTGATTCACTCTGCCACACTGACCTGTCCACTAGTCTTCAGTTAGAGCTAAGATCAAAGCAAAATGATCAGTGGGTACCTGCAGTAGCATCAGCGCAGGAAAATTTTACATGCGAGTGGAAAATTTTACATGGGAGTATGTGTCTCATGATGGACCTGAATTCAGCCTAGAACTGTTTATCATAGACCAAGATTATGAACAGTGCATGATTACAGAAAATGAGTTGAAGATTACCATCTATTTCTTTTAAGATAACTGCATCTGAAAAGGTGCCTCTTCTTCAGGGTACAGAGCTGGTCAGTAGGTGACTGTTGACAGAACATGTCTATATAGGCGTGCCCATATGCTGTTTCATTAGCTTAGCCTATGTTAATTAAGGGCCTTGCAGGGGGACAGCTCATTTCCTGCAAAGGCAGTTCTATATTAAGGTGTCTAAAAGGCTGTAGATTGACATTTTTTTATGCCTGACCATTGTCCAGTTCAGGAAAGCAGGACAAACATGCAGCTGCATCCACCTCAATGTATGGACAGGTCCACAGATCCTCTGTGGCAATCCTCTAGCAGGGAGAAACTATCTTGCATTTATGTAATGCTGTAAAGAAACTTATTTTGTGGATGTACAGATGATTTGCTTTGTGGGACTGTGAAATTAGAATATTTTATCAGATCATAAATGCACAAGAGATAGAATTATAGATACATGCATGCTCTTTAGGATAAGATTCCTGTTACTATGAGTTGACTTACCACAGCAGTGAGTTCAGTATAAATAGATATGTGAGCTGTCATACTGTAAAGTTGTTCCCAACAGTATGAACTCCCAAACCCTCTTCTGGAAAATATTCTGGAAATCATTTCTCGCTTGATTCAAGACACCTCTTGGTTACTGCAGCGTCTTTATAAGAAATAGCTTATGTGTGTAGCGTTTCAAAAATTGAAAGAACAAAAAAATGCCCGAGGCAGGACTGCAATTTGAAGTATAAGAGCCTGCTGGGGATTCTATTTCCCAGTTTTGTTTGTTTTTTCTGACCTGTTCCCTTGTCCCTTTATTTTTAGCAACATGCTAACTAGTTAATATTACCACTATTTGAATGAGAAGAAACTTATGCACCAGTCTTTGTTTTATCTGTAAAATTGTTCCTGAGTTTTGTGTTTTCTGCAGTATTTTCTCTGTACTTGTATATGAATTAAATGAACTTTACTAGCTCTTGTTTTCCATGGAAGCACATGACACAAACAGGCAGCAGCATTGCTCTCTTCCTGTATGGCACTTGTCCCTTGAGATCAAGGGCTGCTCCACAAAGGCATTTCACTCTCATTTGACACAAGCTGTCAAACAGGGGTACAGAGATGGAAACCTGTATTTGGGCAGTATTTTGCCCAAGGTTGGAGTTTTTTGGTTGGTTTGTTTATTTTTTAATTGTCCTTCTGATTAAAGTACTTTCAAAAACGCACAGACAGCAAAGGTACATGAAGATCTCTTTATATGTTTACATGGAACACAAAACAGTTGGGCCCAACCCTGGTTGCAACCTTTACCTGCCACTGTAATGCAAATAACTGTGCAGCTTTTTGTGCGGTACCAGGAGGACTATTTGTATCACACAGAAATGTGTTGCATTTTATCCTCCAGCTCATATTATAACTACAGTGTTGTTGCTATCCTGATCCCTGCCTGCCTCCATGCAAAAATACCCATCTCAAATGCATGGCTATATTGTTCAAGAATTAGTTGGTTTGGCATGGGTTGTGGGTTGAAATGCATATGTTACTGACATGTCTGTGATGTGATGGTGACATTAGCACTGGAGTTAGGGTAAATTGTGAGGCCTAAACTCAAGTATAGCTAAGTTAGCATGATAATTAATTTAGAATTTCTCACAGAAGTCTTCTGAGCAAATTACAAAAGTCTCTTTTGTCTTAAATAACATGTCAAAGCAACTCTTTTGTTCTTTGGTTGTGGAAACACAGTAGTGTTTCTGAAGCTCTTCTACATCTGTAGACAAGCTCTGTTGACTCCAAGATCAAATTAACTTACAGCTGTTGAGGTGTGGCTTTTCCTTACCTGTGGTGCCTTGGAGATAAGTCTCATGTCAAATAGGAATAACAGGAATGGTAAAATACTGACCTTAATTACTTACAGAACTGGAATCCTACATAGTCTGTTCTTATTGAGGTTTTTGTGCTGACAGAGCTTAAGAAGATGGAACAATAGAGGAAATAGAATTGACTAGTAATCATTTGGAAGCCATTGTACTTCCTGAGCTGAAGCAAGCAGCTGCCAGCACCTCTCTGACACTGTGTCCTTCTCTTTGTCTATTTGTAGCCTCAGCTTTGCTGGCTGTGAATTATGGACTATAAGTTTTCGTTCACTGAAGTGTAATGTGGTTTAATTACAGTGAATGCTTAAAAACAACTTGAGAATGAAAAGTGCTGTGTAAGTGCTGAATGTTATCCTTGACAAAGACACAGTAACCAGGTAGTTAAGTCTTCCAGATGCATCCAGTTATCCCATAAATTACAAATTAATTTCTCTCCTTAGGCTATTGACAGATTTGGCTTTCTTGCTAATTGGTTTACCTGACCAATTGGATGTATTTCAGTAAAATGACTGGTGGAGGCTAGATCTTGCCTTAAATGCAACAATTATATATGGGTTGGCTACAAATCAGAGGTAAACACTGCAGTAAGGTCAACAAAATGGAGCAAATTTGTATTGGGATTTTCTAGGTAGATTTTAAAAGTGTGTTTATACCTGGCAGTCCCTCTTAAAGTCACCTTGACTTCAGCTTACCTTAGTAAGAGTAACTTTTGTCTCGCATCCTTGTCTTACTGTCCACATGCCATTCATAACTGCTGTGTTTTGTAATTGGATCTTCCTTTGAGTTTTCTGGCTACTATTTATCGGATGTTTTCAAAGTCATGAAGTGGAGACACTGGAGCCTAGGATTCCACACTAACTTGCTTCATTCTGCCTCTCTTGTGATACAGTTTAGAAACTGTTCAAAGCAGAGGGGTGTGGTATAAATGACAATGTATCCAAGTTTTTCGAGCTTTTCCCTATCGCTTAAAAAGGTCAAACAAAAGTACTGAAAGCTGTAGCATACTGGTTAGCCGTCCAGTTAAGCTCTTAGTTTAAAAAAAAAAAAAAAAACACAAAAAACAACAACAACAACAACAAAAAAAACCACACAAAAAAACCCAAAGGAAAAATCAAACGAACAAACCCAAAAAAGCCAAAACCACACACACACACGCACCAAAAAAAAAAAAAAAACAAACAAAAAAAAAAAAACAAAAAACACCAGCTGGAATGGAGTTCTGCATTTCTCATGTGAGGGAGGCAAAAAGACACTCTGAGCTGGAAAAAAGACACTCTGAGCTGGAATCTTCATACCATGTAATCACATCAGTATAAAGATATTCAGGCTAATATTAATTTCTGATATAATTCTACTGACTTTTTAATCCAGTTACACTGAGGGTGAACTTGTCCCTCATGGTGTCTGCAAATACACACACACAAAAGCACTAACAGCAGTGGGAGAGGTCATGGCCCATTTGTGTATGCTAATGTCTCTCTGCCTGATGTGCACATTTCATCTCTTTATCAGATGCTCTGTTCTCTGACTAAAATTAGAATAAAAACTTGCAGTTAGCAATTTTCAATGCCAGACTTTTTTTTCCTGGAATTCTTTTTTATAACATTTTGCTAGAGGATTGGTTGTCATTCCTTCTTTGTCTGTCTGTTTCTCTTTTCTTTCTGTCTTTCCAGAGAGTTCCCTTTTATTCACCCTCTTACTTCCTCAGGCCTCATCTGATGTGCATGATTTACAAAGTCGAGAAATGCTATCATCACAGACAAGTATTTTCAGCTATTCTGATCTTGAAAATGTACTTTAGACTGTATGTGTCCCTGTCTACTCTATGTATTTTTGCATTCTTGCTAAAAATAATGTGTGATGAAAATAAGATATTAATTTTAAAATATCACATGTATTGAGGGGGAATATGTAGAGAAATAAACTACAGAGTTTGCTCTCAGTCAGCCTTTTGAGGAGCGGGGTGGAAGGGGAGAGTTGTTGTGTCCTTATGTCCCTACTTTCTTTGGAAGACCGTACAAATTTTTAGCTATTCAAATTAAAGTTCTTCTCCCCCTTTCACTTCCCTCCTCAAAGTGAGGACTAGCTGAGGACATTGTTGCCTTCTTGGCAGTAGCCTAGGGATATGCATATACCACTTAGCAGCTGGAGCTGAGTGCTGTCATCCCACCTTATCTGTAACAGTGAAGTTAGTCTAGCAAAATCTCTTAATTTCTCTGCCATGTGCTGAATAACTTTTTGTTTGGATCAAGAAACGTGTGGAGTACAGGTAGGAAATACCTTACTTCACTAATAAAGGATAGCTATGATATAACACTGTGTTGTCACATGCCTTCATTCCATCAGCAATTTTGTATTTGTGCCACTGTCTAACCAGATTTGGTTTGACTAAAGCTATAGACACCTTTCTTTGCTAAAACCCTATGAGCGTTAAGTATGCAAGGGAGAAAATGCTGTACTGCTTTCAGGACACAAACATTCCCCTGCACATTGATAGCAAAATATGCTTGGCATGCAGTGACGTTCAGTCCTGCCTGAAATAAGAGCACTCAAAAGACACAGTCTAGCCACAAGACTGCAGAGTTCAGTTGTTAACCCAATGAAATGACAATGTGAACATTATGTCCTGATTACTAAGATATCTGCACTTCTGACCACTCTAATTCATGCTAGATCTTAAACCATCTTGCTCTTTTCAATATATCACATTGTCTTCTCTTACAAATCTTTATTCTTGTCAGTATCTCATGTTCTGTTTTCTTGTGGACTTCAAGTTGTAGAACCTGTTGTGCTAAGTGTGTTTCAAAACAAGGAAAAGTGTATCACTTGTATTTTATGCATATCTGATGTGCATGTTTTCTTACTGCTACCTAATCTAATTCTAGGTAGGATCAATTTATGAAGTATTCAGGCTCAGCCTGTCTTCCTGTCAGAGCTCATCAGCAGTACCCGGCATGGTCCTTGGCAATTCACTTCCTTTCCTAAAGTCAGGTCACCTTTTAATTGGTCTTACCCAGCTATCTTGTAACTTCTAACTCTGAGAAAACACTATTTGAAGTTGGTTTGCACATCAAGAGAAAGAATCCTTCAAGCTAAAATCTTGCTCTGTTATATTCTAAGTGTGTGCTGGATTGTCAATTGTTGGGAAATTGTGTTGCCCTGTCAGGGCAAGTAATTGGAAGCTGGTCCACAAAACTGTATCAGAGATGATTAACACAAGAGACTTGATTATCCTGTCAGTAATAAGGACACATGGTGATCAGTGGAAAAAATTGCAAGATGGTAAATGTTGCTTGTCCAGAAGTTTTGGGAATGTAGAGTTGGGGTGATTTAGTTAAAATGGAAACTCTGAGAAGTCCTTTTCCTTGCTCCTGTCACAGACAAGTCTGTAAAATTACAAATACCAAGGTATAATGACACCTCTGTCACTGTCATTCAGCCTGTATTTAGTCGTGATTTCTGCATGTCTATCTATTGGCAACTCTAAGGACAGAAGATTAATGTAATTAGAATTAATCTTGATAATTTGCAAAACATTGTTTGGTCCTTTTAAGTGCATTCTGTAAGATAAGATTGGCTGGATCTTGCCTTTGAGCTCCTGCATTTGTTGTTTGTCACAGTTATTGTCTGTGTTCTACTTGACAGTTGAAGGCAATGTAAGTTTTGCCAAAGTACAATAAGCAGAACTAGATTCTTGTTTATATTCAGAGAGTTTTGTTAGTAGGAATCCGTGAAGAGTTTTGACAGGCAATTTGGGAACATTGAGCAGACAATTTGGAATATTAGAACGTTTCAATGAATTTTGAACTGCTGCATGTAAGAGTGGACATTACAAAGACCTAAGCAGGAAGGCTGTGTTGTATCACAGAATATTTTTACCCACCTCAAGCAGTTCTCAAGCATGCATAGCCCACAGAGTCTGACAGCAAGGCTGAATTCAGGACTTTGTGAATGTACCTTTGTCAGAAAGCTGGAATGAGGTTGTTCAGTTTTTTGCAATTCTTCTATTGGCCAAGTGACTTCTAAAACTGCAGAAGGCCAGTTTTTATACAGTGGAGATTATCAGGATGCTTGCATTTTTGTCATTTACCAATGTTCTGTCTCTGTCTGTCTGGTTAATATCAACTCTTAGTGTGGAATCTACTGAGGCTGTTACAGTGTTTTCTACAAAGTTATCTTGTGGTATCTGTAGGCCAGGAGTTTCAATCCTGTAATTAAAGTATATAACATTGTATTTTCTAGGCAAATGCTCAATGTCACCACACTTTTTTTTGTTTGTTTGCTGTTTTTTTTTTTGCTGTTGTTGTTTTGGTTTTTGTTACTGTCTAATTTAAATACTAGAGTAAATTGTGAAGTAATGTGTCTGCCTTAGGGAAGGAAACTTGAACAGCGGTGCTCAGTAGGTACCACAGATTCTTAAATGGTAGTAGGATGCATGAAAATAGTGCAGAATGCTTAAACACACTATGTTATTTCACAGGGGTAGTAGCAGTAATGTCTGATCTTGAATTACATATGAAGGACAATGCAGTATCTTTTATAACACAAATTCTCTTATTTCTATGGTTATCTAACTGAAACTTGCCCCTCCTACCCCCCAGCAAATAATAAAAAGAAAAATTCAAGCCTTCAACGACTGCTTCACCATCCTTGTGAGGAAATATGTTGGTGTAACTATGCTGCATTTCTCTATAGTTGTACTAATCTAATTCCCCATGTGGAGGCTTGTCACAGAATAAGGGCCAAATTCACAGTACCAAGGATATGCTGAGGTAGCTGTATAGCCCTTTTTTTTTTTTTTTTTTTTTTTTTAACAGATGGAGTTCCTTCCCCACTACAGCTCAAACCACTGTGCTGCATAGTGCATAATCTATTAGGAAAAGATACTTTTGCCAGCCTGAATTTATTTCTATTCACTGGAATGATTGGTTAGAAGTGTGGTTGTTTTTCTTTGTGCTTCTAGTAGGCATAGTTAGGCTGCAAAAACATAGAGAACTGATTTTAAAATTCATTTTTCCCAGCATACTTTATACTAGTTTGAAAAATACAGAAATTAAACCACAATAGATATATTTAATTCTGAAAAGGAAGGACATATTAATGACTGCTTTTTTGCAAGATTCTAGGATTCCTCTATTTAGGTTCTACCTAACTAATGGAATAAAATTAGAGGGAAAACTGTTAGAAAAACAAATTAACTGTACCATGTAATTCTATTTATTATGGGAGAAAGCTTGAGAATTATTTTAAATGGCAACACTGCTTTGAAGCAATCTTCCCTTCATACAAGGTTAATTCTTTGTGGTTTTGAGGTCTGTAGTCTAGATAATTCCTGTCCGAGCACCACTAGCTTTTAGTTTTACTTTCACCCCCTTGTCATTGATTACTATGTCAGTTAGATATTATGTTTACCGAATGTTCCCATCACCAGTTCTTGTACTTCAATCTAGTATATGGCTGGGGGTGGTCAGTTTATTCTGCTTTGGCATCCATTCGAATGACAAAAATGTTCTGAAATACAACTTGAATTTCATGATGCATCCTGTCAAGTGACACACTTCTATAGTAAATAAGATATGGTGAATCACACAATGCAATATAAGGATCTGTGTCCCGAAAGAATTAACCGAATGGAATCATGCTCTCTCTTAAAGATAATGGAGAAGTTGCAGTTAGGATTCTGTGTAAAAGCTAAAGCAGCCAAATAGCTGTACAGAGGAAGGAACAGAATAAGGAAGGAGGAAATCTCTTATCCTCTTTGATATAAACAATCAAAGATGTAAAAATCAGTATTGTTTAAAATTCAGTAATTGAAATATAAGCAGTCATCCTACCCATCTAAACTTCAGCGTTACTCTAAGTAATTTCTTTTTTTTTTTCAAAAGGGTTGCCCTCATACAAAAAGTTGGGAAGTTCTTAAGGTCCTTGAAATGAGTAAAGACAGCAATCATTTGGCATTGCCACCCTTAGCTGATGAAGTGCTCCAATCACATTCTGCTCCTTTAGGATTTGCATGGTAAATTTTTCCAAACCTAATTCCAATCCATTGCTACTTTTTCAATAGAAATTTTGGGTTGATTTTTTTTTTACTTAATAAAGAAACGTTTGATAGCCCACTCACAATGGTAGCATCTTATCAAATGTTGAACACAATGGAGTGAATTAGAAAAAACCCAAACACTTGTTTTCACAACCTAATCCTAGAGATTACACAAGTCTCATTAACAACATAATCATTAGTACATTAATTAGCCTTCAGTATTGTAGCATTTTGTATTTTTAATAATCCAAGATTTTTGTAGTATATTTTATGTTTGTTTGCTTTATTTTGACTATTACATTACTTGTTGTCTGCTCAGACAAAATTCCCATCAATTTCAACAGGAGTTTGCCCAGCAAAGAAGTAGGCAGTAAAGCCCTTAGAATTTTGCCCAATGTTTTTCACCTAGCAGTGTCCCTTTCTATTTCCTAACGGGTCTACTCTAAAGTCTGGCATAGCACAGACTTTGCAACTGTCTCATGTATGAAATATGAAAGTTTTAAATGCTCATGTAAGCCACTATATTAAAAGAAAGTAGTGTTTTATAGTTCAAAACACTGATGTCTATTTTAATACATGGTAACTGGGAAATTTGATGCTATTTCTGTTTTTTCATCATGGGTTTGTATTATATGAGTTTCTTAAATTTTTGTCTCTGGTACATTGGAATTTTTGTAATTGTAAGGCTTTTTCTCTATGGCATAAATTTAATATAAAAGGATT